TTTTTTTGTTTTTAATTTTTTTGTTTCCCCCCCCCCCCCCCGGAATAGTATCTTAGGGGATAAAGTACAGTCTAGTAAATTCTGTCATTATGGGTGCATGGTGCCCTGTTCCCATTAATGCAGAGTATAAGACTTAAGCAGAGAGCAGGAAAACTGATTTAGGAGTAGCAAGTTGTGGTATGTAGTTCTATTTTTTTTTTTAAAGCTTTTATTACCTCCAGAAGATGAACTAACTTCATAAATGAATTTGTTTTTTCAGTTGAGTGTTCGTGGGAAAAATAAGAAAGAGAAACTTGAAGACTTCTTTAAAAATATGGTTAAATCAGCAGATGGTGTCATTGTTTCAGGAGTAAAGGTGATTACTGCTTAATATATCAAGAATTAAAATGTATTAGCATTGTTTTCCCCTTTTTTTAATGAAGCAGGGATTTTTCTAGCGATATGTAACTTAAGAATTAGAGGAAGAGCATGGAAAGGAACCTGTCGCCCTGGATGCGTGATAACTGAGAGCTATCTGATTGCTTCTGTGAAAGAGGGCTTTCACTACTCTTTCCCCTGTTTTATGAAATTAAGCTTTTTTTTTTTAATCCAGAGATTATTGATAATCTGTTTTTTGTTCTGGCTTGCCATTTTATATAGTGGGAAGGTGCACTAGCTTTGGCAACTGCTGCAGCTTAGAAGTTACTAACACAGTGTGAATTTTATCAGCCTTGTAACATCCTTCTACCCTTCTACTGTTTCAAAGCTAAGACCAGCAGTAAGAGGTGATACTATTTTTCCTAGTATGCAAGAATGTAACTGAGACAAAAAAAAAAAGAATTTTAATGAAAATTCAATTTCATTTCAACTTTTCTAAAAGTTGAAATGTTGCTTTTATAACAAACATAAATTCTGCAGAAGATGATTTTGATCTCCTTTCTTTCTAATGGTAACTTTCCATTTGCAAACAAATTAGAGAAGCTAAAGTTCCTAGTTACAATATCTTGAGTTTTGGAACTGCTGGAAAGTGGATATAACCATGGATTAATTATGACTTGGAGAAAAATATAAAGTCCAAATAACCAGCAGTTTTCATAAGCACATTGTTCAAAGCCCATGTTGTAGGCTATTCCATGGTACTGAGGATCTGTGGTATTTTAGAGGGTTTTTTAAAATAAATATAAACCAACTATCTCAAATTGTAATACAGAAAATATTAAAGTTTACCTGCATTACCAACTTGAAAGAAATCTGTCATCAAGATCAGCGTTCCTGAGCCAGGAGTTCATATCGTCTCTGCTGTGACCATAGCATCTTGTGCAACTGGGTGTCTTTCTTCCCCTCTCCCCTTTTTCTAGGTAGATGTCCTTTTATTAAGTACTTGACATTTATTCTATTTTTCTGTCACCAAAGTGGTAGTTAGTAGTGAAATTATTTCCTTCACTTCAAGTTTGTTATCCACAACTTTAAGATGCTTGTTATGAATTCTTAATTCTTAATAAAACTTCAGATCATGATAAAATAAGTGAAGAAATCGATTTACATAAATGGTGTTTTAGACAATAAAAACAGATTGCATTTCATGTCACTGCAACAGCAATATATGCAAATTTACTCTGCAATTGCTCTGTACAGAGTGAGTGAAATCCTGTTTTTTAAATTGTTCTTGTGTTTTGTAGGATGTGGATGACTTCTTTGAACATGAAAGAACATTCCTTGTAGAATATCACAACCGAGTCAAAGATGCTTCTGCCAAATCTGATAAAATGACAAGATCGCATAAAAGTGAGTTCTTTTTCCAGGGTGAAAATAGTACTAATTAAAGTGTACAGAAGTGGTTCATGAGGACTGGTAATTTTTAGTTCTCTCTTTGCACGTGAAAAGTGAGTTAATTTCTCCCAGTGTAGTCTTTGGATAGTCTAAAGAAGTTTAATTTGACTTTCAAAGTGTAGCGTTTGCTGTAGTAGACTAGATGGAGTAAGAACAGCCTGATGCGACACTGAAGTTATCTTGATTCTTCATGCTGTCCCTTTGAAGAGAAACACACTTTATGTAATAATATTTTTTTGAAGTCTGATTCTTAAAGTGTAAAGGTGGGTAATATAGCAGTATATGTGATTTTACTCCTAATGAAGTTGCTCTTGATTGGATGAGCTTGCATTCATCCGAGTGTAATTTCTTGGCACACTAGGCATTGCATTACCTTGCTGAGCAGCAAACTCCTATTTGGGCCATTAGTTCTAGACTGGGAAGTCAGGTTTCCATTTTTCAGCCTTTTAGAATGGAGATTGGAATGTGTACATTCAGTAGCTTGGTTTGCATGACCCCTTTTCTTACTGAAGTGAGGTTTTTCCATTTAGTTATTAATTTCTCTTCCTGAGCTGAGTGCTAGCTAATGTGATTTCTGGAAGCTCTAGATAGTCATCTCAAGTGCAGTGCATTTATTTGGGAAAATGGAAGATCTTTGGTTTAGGACTATTGTGTTTGGTTTAGGATTACTGTGTCTTGAGAAGCTCAGAAAAAGGTTGACCTTTATTGCCCTTGATTTTAAGTTTTTGTGTCTGGATAAATCAAAATTGAACTACTAGATTCTCTCTGCTTTCTTGAAGTTTGTGTCTGATTCGCAGATTCTGTCTTCGCTATCTACAGTAATATAGTTCACAAAAAAACCAGGTCACAAACCTTTTCTGAATCTCTATTGGTAAGGACTCTAAAGTGGATATTGAAAGAGACATTAAACCAAGAATTTACCGAGCTCTTTAGATGCTTCTCTTGCTATTGTATGAAGACCAAGTCTTTTGCAGCTTTAGCATCTATGCTAGGAGATGGGGAGAGTCAGTTATGGCTTAATGAAGTACTAAGGGACCCTGTGTCTTCAGTTCCTACTGGAAGTGGTTTCTGGTGTTTTGTTTGCTTTCTTAAAATGAAAACTGAACTTCATTCATGGTAGTTAGGTGCCAAACTTTAGGTAGTGAGAGAGCCTTTCACATTGGTTGTAGAACTAGGAAAATTGTTAGAAATGAGGTTGTAGACGATCTGATGGGAAGGATTGATTAAACTCATGACAAAGCTTCACTGGTTTTCAGACTCAAATCACCTAGGATGTTTATTGACAACTTTTTATCAACCTGAGAATTGGGACAAATGGCATCTTTCGAAATTCTGGCTAGAGAAGCAGAGCAATGACCTGGGAAGCCTGTTTTGGAAATGGGCAATCTGTAGTTTATTGATAACTTATCATCAACAGAGAGCTGCAGGGCTTGCAGAGATACTGACTTCCTATTTCCAGCAGAAAATCTATTTTTACGTTTAAATGGGAGGGATAGAAAGGGAGGTTAATGGCTTCCTAATAACACTCTTCACTGTAACCAGCTGCACTGATTCTCTTGGGATGTATGGAGTAATAAATTGGGTGGAAGGTGACCCACTCAATTTGCTAAAACAAGGTTGTGTTATTTAAAAAAAAAATCTGTTTAAAGACATATAAACTTCAAAAATAACAAGCAAATATATTTTGCTGTTCATTGCTTGGATCTGTTAGTGTTTTCATCATCCATTGAGTTTATACTAACAGCTCTTTAAAAAAGCCGTCTGTGCAAAGATTTTATTTTTTTGATTACTGCATAGCAATACCTCACTAGTCAAATTACACAGCCTTCTTTACAAACCCTGCTCTAATTTCATTCTTTAAAATGCTTTAACACTAATGCTACTTCAACCAGTGACCACTTGTTGATGAGATAAAGGTTTCCTGAAAATTAGGCATGTGCTAGAAAAAGTGTTGTGCATATAGCGCTGTATTTTGGTATTTTGCAGTTTTTATTCAATTTACTGCTCTCAAGCACACAGACTTATTCTTTGTTATTGTTAGCCTGTGTTTTTTTTCAAATACCTTTAGGCATTAGATTCAGATTTAAATTCAGACTTTAGCCATTGAGTTTGTACATCTTCCACCAAATAAAGCCTAACAAAGTTGCACGATAAATTTACCCATCAGGTACTAATTGTATTAAGTATTCCTAGATAAATTACAGACTTCACGATTTGGTGATAGCACGATGTTTATTGTGTGAAGTTATCCTTCATAAGTGACATGATTGAAATTTTATTTCTGCTTTTGTGTTAAAGCATGTTCCTTTTAGAAACCCACCTACTCTTGAAGAAAGAGAGAAATTTCAAAATTCTCAGAAAGAAGAGGAATGAAATAGTAAAACAAGTGCTTGTTTGTTTTTCTAGATGTGGCGGATGACTATAATAGAATTGGTTCTTCATTATATGCATTAGGAACGCAGGACTCCACAGATATATGCAAGTAAGATATTGTTAATAACCTATGGGGGAATTTGCTAAGTAGCAGTCTTAATGGTGACCTGCTGAGATAGGTAGATGTCTTGTTATGAGAAACAGAATTTATTATAGTTATGTCACTTTAAGGGATTTTCTTCTCTAGTATTTCATTTCTGTAACAGGCTGCTTTAATATTTTTGCTTTAATATTTGTCTGGAGAAAAAAAAAACTGTTTTCTGCAGTTTGTAGAAAGTTACACAAATGAAATGGAAAAGTCCTCATAGAAAAAGAAAAAACTCTAACCCTTTCACCAGGTTTTTTTATTTTAAAGTGCTTTAAGTGCTTTGACGTGCAGCGAGAACACGTCTCAGTCTGAGTATAGTGATTTTTGTGGGTGCTCCCTGTACCAACATCTTGAAAATGTTCTGTTGTTCTGGCAATTTTATTGCCTTTAGGAAGAGAAAGGAATCTACAGAGATCCCTAAAACTTTGAAAATAGAAGAGGGTGTCTACGTACAGATGTTTGTCCTTTAATCTTTCAGTGATTTGCTTGAATCTGAAGTTTGGTGTATCTGAAAGTAAAAGTTAACTAGCTTAAAGATGTTGATGCTTGTGAACATGCACATGTTAGTGTGAGAACAGGTAGGAGATGAGTATGGAAGTTAACTTATTTTTATTAATTTACCTGAATTATAGTGATATATTTCCAAATGTGGTGATAGCTTACATATCCATTACTTTGATTATCGTATTGAGATTTGATGTAGCCTGTTGGGGTCTGTCAGGAATCGCATCTGTCTTCTGTCAAAATAGTATGATTTGACTGTAGTTCAGTCTGCTGTTACACTGAACCCTTGTATTGTCTCCTGTGATGAAGATGTGGCACGTTGTTGCTCAGCCTCCCTGAATTCCAAGTAGGGCATGCGTCATGTTTATTGTCTGAAGAAAAGTACATTCAAATTTGAATGAAGGACACTTGATAATAGCGTAGGACCGTTAACCAGGGTGGTGATGTAATTCACAGAAACATAAAGAATCCCTGAGGAGCTGTGCAATTATTCTTTAGTGAAGAAACATCCATCCGTTATGGTTTGTTTGTCCCTTACCTTTTCTTAAGTTGTACAATTCCCAGATGTTTCAACTGCTACAATTTAGAACTATTATGTTCTCTGTGTTCTGTGAATTACAATTCTAAGCAGTGCCTTTACAGTCTTTATTGCCAGACACAGATTGTATTTGGAGTTCTAGAAGTTAAACTGTTTAAATTAATGTTGTAATATAAGCTGTTTCCTTTGTGCAGGTTTTTTCTGAAGGTATCAGAGTTATTTGACAAAACAAGGGTATGTACTATGAAACCTTTTTAGATTATTCTTTGTGTACATCCTGGAAGTGGCAGAACATCTTGAGTCAACTAGACATTAATATGCGGATGTTTTATGGATGCTTCCATATGAAGCATTTAAGTAATGTGTGGTAGGGAATGAAAAAGCGTAAGATTTCAGTCGTCTGTTTTGTAAAATGCTTGATCCTTAGGAGTCTTCAGTCTACTAAACATTTCTAGGCAGTCTTCCTGTCTTCTATGTAATAAACTAGTAAAGCTGCTATTCTTCTAAAATGCTTAGAGGCCTTCTGTACTTGTTACTGGGCATCACAGAACTTGTTATGGAAAAAAGAAATGAAGAAATGTAATCCTTAATCCAAAAAATGGCAGTTATGCTGCTTTTTTTCTGGAGCCAAGATGTGTTTCTGCAATTATTTGACTCAGAAATACTATTGCTGATGTTTCTAACCAGATTTTCAAATATATTGTCTCTTTTGCCTTATTTGTTTGGCTTGGTAGAGCAGAAGATGTATGCCATGTATCAGGAAAACTTTCAAATTAAAAATGTGTGCACTTCCTAAACACAGACAGTTGTATCTGCATAAATATGTACTTTAAAGAAAATTGATGGTATTAATTGCTTTGACCTAAAATTTTGCCTTCTAGAATTTTTTTAAAAATTAAGATTTAAAAAATGCACTTGCAGACTCTGTTTCTAAATTCACAGAAATGTCTGTTTCAAATACAAGCAAATAAGTTTATCGGTCTTTTGGACCATTTAATGCATGCATTGACACAACTAGTCTGCAAAGGTGCCTTAAAAATTTGTTTCCCTTTGATCTGAAAACCTGCATAAAACTTCTTGTGCACCTCTTTTATGCTAGATAAGTTTTTGTTTCTCTGCTGTTTTTCTAGTATATGATACATATAATTGAAATTGGGAAGAAAGCATTGTTTAAAATAGAAAGCTAGTTGTCAATTCCTGCTCACACAGTAGGTTATTGCTTACATTTTAATACAAAATCCTAATACTGCTTCTGATGCATCTTTAAGTATTCTGTCACAAATGCATGATCTTCATTTTTGAAAAAGACAATCTGTCATGTACTGTTGTATATTTTATGTTATACTTACATCATACAAGTGAATACCCAAAGTCTGGGTGTTTTTAAATTGATGCTTTTACTTACTGTTTTTCCAGAAAATAGAGGCCCGGGTATCTGCTGATGAAGATCTTAAACTTTCTGATCTTCTGAAATACTACCTAAGGGAATCTCAAGCTGCTAAGGTGAATTTATGAGTTTTTGTTCAGTGAAATAGTGTTTCTTTAAAAAAAAGAAAAGATAAGGGATCATCTTGAGAAATACACAGTAGATAGGTTAAAATGCTGCCACTTCTAGCCTTCAGTTTCTCCCTCAACTGTAAAACCTGGATCTCTGTTGTATATACAAAGAGGTAACAATGCAGTTGCTGACTGTGAGTCTGGAACTGTGTGATCTGCTTATTGAGGCCAAATTGTGCAATATAATTAAAAACAGTGGAAGAGCTGTTGGTGAATTGTTCATGTGTTTTCAATGTGTTTGCTGCTTGTAGACTGCAAGCAATTCTACTTGTTCTTTAATATTATTAAAATTGAATATTCCAGATGATATGCAAGTGCTGATGCAAAAACACATGGGGCAAATTTGGTATTCTATACCTACAGAAAATTTCATTCTTAGTGTTGTTTGATGTAAGATGATTAAGTAACTTGGCAGAATGAGGAAGCATTTGACAGAAAATATCTGTAGTTAGAAGATCACAGCAATAACTGTTGCACAAAAAAATGCTACTGCTGTTTCGTGGGCCCTGTGTGTGTTTCAAATACATAATCTAAATATAGTTTGTTTCTAATCTAAGAAGCTGTGACATTTCCCGTGATTGTACCTTCTTAGGCTTTTTGGAGTATCATCTAAGCCATCTGTTGCTGGCCTCTGTCAGACAAGATGCAGACCAAACAATATTAAATTGCATGTCTGATCCAGTATGGACATTCCTGTGACTTGCAGAATGAAGTAAAGTGAATGCAAATATTTTCATAAGAACTGGAATACAGCAAGAAAGACTAAAATTAATCTGATTTTTTTTTTTATTACTTTGTATATACTGAAATCTTTGGGTAGATTCATGTAAAGTCTATACATCCTTTATGCCTTTTTTTATAGGATCTCCTATATAGAAGATCTAGGTCACTAGTGGATTATGAAAATGCTAATAAGGCATTGGATAAAGCAAGAGCAAAAAATAAAGATGTGCTGCAAGCTGAAACTACTCAGCAAATATGCTGTCAGAAATTTGAGAAAATTTCTGAATCAGCAAAACAAGGTATTTGGGTGGTCTTTGATCATACGTTACTACTTGAAAATCAACAGATTTTAGGATGTTATTAATAAGAATAGATTTTTGTTCTGTTTCCTAAGGAGAACTATTATCTTCTAATCAGTATTTACTTATTTTGGAAAGTTCAAATGATTTTTTCCTTTGGTGGCTCGTAGCTCCATTAGGCAGAGCAAAGTCTAGGTGCAAATTATTTGTTAAGCACTTTTTTTTATATGCATAGGATAGGATACAAAATGATAATTGCTAGCAGTAAAGGGAAACCTAATCTTTTAAAGTGTTGTTGAAATTCTTTTGGTTTTATGCATTCTTCTGTGAAGGCAGCAGTCTGTTGCAGAGGTGATATTACGTTAGAAAAGGGAGAGATCACGAAATGAGATTTCACTGAAGTCGCAGAGTTACAGTAGCTCTAGAGAAAAGGAACCTTATTTACATGTTGCCTTTTTCCTGGAAACTTACTCTCTTTTTTTTAGGCTAATATTGTTGTGAGTTAGTAGTCATCTGACTCATTATTTGGGGCAGATTTGTTCAAGGTTTAAACACCATGCTCTTCTGTTTTTATAATTTAAGAGTTGTTTGAGCCTGTAAATCTTGCTAATGATTCCTATAAATGAGACAGTGGAGAATGAGTGATCCTATTAGCCACAAAGGTATACGCATAAAGCGTACTTGCTTCCTCTGCTCTTCATGCTAGTTTTAGCTTAGTATCTTCCCTAAAGACTTTCACATATCAGCCTTGAAAGAGCAGTGCGCATGGAATAAGAGAATGAAATGTTTAAAAGCATCCACATTGCAGTCTTTTTTCAAAAGAGCTTTGTGTCCACAAAAGGTTAGCTAGAGATGAGGACCTGCTATGATGGCTTGCTTTCATCCAATAGTGTAGCAGTACCTTTGAGCCTGGAATGCGCTGAGATTAAATTTGAGTTTTTTCCTGTTGCCTTTTCTCACCCTTTACCTCTTCCATCCTGAAGGAAAGTCTGTGAACAGTTGAGGGCACTAGCAATAATACTGTTAATGAATCCATTTTTCTTTCTATAGAACTGATAGACTTTAAGACAAGAAGAGTTGCAGCGTTCAGAAAAAATCTGGTGGAACTAGCAGAACTGGAATTAAAGCATGCTAAGGTAATTGTGATTGTTTTTGGCCTGGATTTCAACTGATTTTAAATATTATATGCTTGAATAACCGAAATGGCTACATTTGTTGTGTGATTCACACACTTCACATTCAGGAAAGGGAATTTGAACGTAAGCATCATCCAGAAAGGTGAACTTCCTTGAATAATAGGGGTGGGGAAGGAAGTATAGGTGAAATATCTCTGAGGGGCTGGTGGGCTTGAGGTGCGTTTGGAAAACTTGCCTCCTTGAAGACAATTTTGGCTTCAGTTTTATGTTTCTTTAGCTGTTTGATATTTACAGCTGCAGAATTTGAATACCTGCCTATTTTTAAAACCTCATCTCATCATTTCACTGTGAGATAGGAAGCGGTTTCTGTTACCCAGATGTTGGGGACTTGATGTATAGGATAGGCAAACTATTAAACATAAGATCACATGGGCCTGTCTGAAGTCAGATCAGTGTTACTCTGAGTATGCTTTTTGTACCTTTTTGCCTTTAAAGTGCTAACAAAACCGAAATGTTGCAGATAGCCTTCTCAGTAAAATAAATTTTTGCAGGAAAAAAACTTTAAAGGGCCTGTACTGTCCTTAAATTTCACAATTTATTTAATTCTTTTAATCCCTATGCAATTAATGTTTTTGGTTAAATCAGGTTAGCTGCTCTGATTTCATAGACAAGTACAACAGTCTCTAACAGTCCTGTAGCAGGAGGCAGCTTTCTTTTAAAAGTCAACTCTTCAACGTTTCTAATTCTCATCACAAATCTGAAAGTGTGTTGATGACCAAGCTTTGAATTAACTTGGAATATATCTGTTGAAAGGACTAGTTAAGAGGTGTATAGTGTTGCCAAGTTAACTTGTTGCTGCTTTACACTCTTTTCAGTAGTGTTGATGGTGTCATTCTTCGTTCTGCCAAACCCATTGTTTGTAAAACTAATGCACTGTAAAAACAGTTGTTTTGGGGACTTTAAAAAAAAAAAATAAAAATCTTTGTAGGTATAAGTTCAGCTTGAGGAGATATTTAGCTGGTAAAGTAATCAGTAAGGTCTGGAACATTCGACTCCTTTTTCAGATGAACAGTGCTTACTTTAATGTGCTATATCAGAAATTCAGCTATATTTCCCCTAAAGTCTTAAAATGTCTCATAATACTTGGTACTATTTGGCCTTCTTGCTTCTCTGTAACAGCTGTCTCTATCCAGCCCTGAGTCTCCCAGAAATCCCCATGTTTGGTCATGAATGTACTGGTTAAGGGTTTTAATGAAATTAATAGTCCTAACAGTCATACTTGCAACAGTTTTTATTGATTTGCCATGTCATGCTTTAATAAGGGAATGAATCCACAGTGCTTCTGCCCTGCTTCAGTCATTGACTCTTAATCATCTCTTGTAACTGACCCTTGCTGAAGTCCCCACATGCCATGGAGTGGAACGCTTAAAAATTCTGTCTTCTAAAGTATCCTTAAAGAATCACTCTCTGTGCTCTAGCTCTGTGTACTAACTCTCTGTGCAAGTCAAAATCTTTTAGTAATATTCTCTTGAATTTTGACAGCTAAGAACTGCGAAAGGCAGTGGAAAAATGCGTAATTTCTGTAGCTTTCAACTTACTTGGTATGTGCTGCTTCTTGGTGTCTTCAGTTTACCTGGAAGAGCTTGAATTTTTTTAGCAGTTCTTCATTTGTCACCACAGCATGTGTTTAAGATGTAGTTCTTCAGATGGTCTGTCTCAGTTTGTGACTTACCTTGTCTTAGTAAATTTACTAACAAGGAGTATATAGGTTTGTAATAGAAGCTTTGAACTGTAGTCCTGTTCTTGAAGGTGAATTTTTTTTTTTTTGCTGACCCTTTCCACTTACTTCATCATGGAGCATTGTAAGATTCACTGTAAGTGAATCTTCACTTTAAAGCTTTACAATATAAAAGGTCATTTTGACTAAGGGTGACAGTTCTTGAAATGTTAACAAATGTTGTGCCTTGTTGCCTGAAAGGGTATTTTACTTCTCACTAGGTTTGAAAGTCCTGTTTTTCCAAAGCCTGTGTTTCATATTTGTTCAAAACAAGCTACTACAGATGGATCAGTTTGGTTGCTGTGCTTTTATTTCTACAGATTCTGAGTTGGATTATTATGGAAATCACAAGTGCAATAGATCATATTTTTCCATTTTATATAATTGGAAATTTTCTTACTAATGCTATAACCAGTGTACTTGAGGATAGCCTTATGGATAAGTTTCTATTAGTCTGTACAGAGTATTGAAGAATGAAAAGGTTTGGTGGAGACTTTCTGAGGTAGTTTCATAAAAGGAAGAAGATATGAAAAGACTTGGGCTTTTTTTGAGATACCATTGTGCCTTGATGCATGAAGAGCAATGTTAGGGTAATATGAAGGTTTCTCCTTGTGCCGGAGAGGATGTTTTTATACTTGTTGCAATGCAAATCATGAACAGTGCTCCCATTTCAGGAGGCTGAGTAGCCCTGGTTGTGGCTGGGCTAAGCTGGGATGTTTGTAGACACCTAATTTCTCTTGCAGTAGAGCCAAAAGAGGGCTGGTAGAAGCAAAAAGGAAGCTACTTTTTCACGTAGGCAGTAAATTAATGAAGTCAGATCAAAAGCTCCCTGCTTTAAAGGTTTTGGACAAAATACTTTGGGTTTTTTTTTCTGGAACGAGTACCTCCAGACTAGATGTCGTGCAGATGCATCTGTCTCTGAATTGGTCTAGCCGTGTGTCTTCTGGACTTGAGTTGCCTGGCATGGAAAGCATGGAGGTGAAATCTGATGCAGCAGTGGGTGCTGGAACTCATCTGAGAGGCTGTCTTTGGGAGGAATTCAGCCATAGTGCAGGCTGCTGCATGACTTACTGTTAAAAGTTATTTGCTGTGTATGGAAAGAAAAACACAAATCCCAAAACACAGAGATCGCTGCACTGAAAAAGTCAGAATGACCAAAGTATCGAGAGAAGGTTCTGAGACACAGCTCACATTTCCTGAGCTATATCTGGCTGTGTGGCTCTGGAAGACTGGAGGGTGATAGGGAAATCAAGCTTTTAGTAAATCAAGGACACTATATACAAATAGGAAGTGTACACTCTCTGCACTTATCCTTTCCTGGTTGCAGCTCAAGACTTCTGAAAGAGCTAAAAATCAGACTTTGGGTTGAGACTGCTTTAAGTTGATGCAAGTGCAGACTACTGCCAGAAGGGATGGTGATGCATGACTCTGTTCCCTTCCCTTATGTTGGCACTATTAGGTGTGCAGCTGCGTAGTAAGATGGAGCTAAAATTTGCTGTGGGTTTTTCTAAGATTTACTTCCAGTGTTGTTTTCACAGCATCCCTTGTGTCAAAACATACAGTTTTGGCTGGGAGGGGCTGGGAATAAGAGAGAGCTGCCTTCTTATCAGCAGCGTGTACCCTAGATTTACTTAAAATAGCTGCCAGACTGCAGCTTTAAATTCTGCTTGGTCTCTGACCTATACTAAACAGATTGATGTTTCTTTTTATATGGCCATTTTATCTGACTGTCCCTCTAGGTAGTGTTTAGCTTCTGTTTTGCTAGCTCTGTGTTTCTTCATGACTTCATGCAGCTGTAGCTAATGTAACACCTGATTAAGTGTTCGGGCATTTAGTGCAAAAGCTGCATTTAAACCTGTTCAGTATTTTAAACAGTTGGATTTTGAGGTGTTCCTGTGTTGGACTTCATGTTCAAGAAGGGAGGTTTAATAGCTGGTGAAACTGCTAAGGTTATAATCATATACTTAAAGCATTTAGAGCCTTAGCTATACTTTTAGAGTCTTTTGACATACGAATTTTAAGTAAGATAGCCACTTCCTTCAAATCAAAAATAAAAAAATCTAAACATCTCTTTCCACAAATACTAATACATGTGCTCTTGCCTCTCTGGGTTTTTGTGGAAAAAATTTGTTGCATTACTAGTGACAGATGTCTGTTTGAAACTGACAGAAGAAGGGAGTAAGCAAAATCCAATGCTAAGGGATTTGGTTAAATGCTTTGTCAGTAATTCTTTCCTTCCTGAAAAGGATGTTTCTGTCACAACGGTTCTGCCAATAACTGTAATATCATCTAGAGCTTAGGAGTCTGAGTTGGCAAGAAACACTTTTCTGAATCTGAATTTATAGGACTTTCTCAAGCTATGCTGATATAAGTCAAGTATGTCAAATATTGCAGCCAGAAAGAGTAATGGCTCACAGGCTCTATTGTCCTTGATTTATTATAATTTAAATAAGGTTGTTCTTGTGAACTTCGTAAATTTGATCTAATGAAAATGAATGATTTGCATATTTGGAAAATTTCAGTAGACTGGCTGGCTGAGTCTGGAAATGACTGATGTGTAAAGGGCATCTTGGTACTGTCTTTTCTTTAGACTGCTACATAGTGACCTGTGAATTGCAAATATACTTCATGCTGCTGATGGGCTGTAAAGAGATGGCCGAAAGATCACTGTCACACTTTTGTTATAGGTAACATGCGTGCAGTCCACAATTATACTTCAGACTGAAGTATTCAGTTTGAAGACTGAAGACTTTGAAGTATACCTTTTCATTCATTATTTCATTGCAGCTAATGATCAGCTGTTCAGTAACAGAGACCTTAGATTTATGAATCTTGACACTACAAAGATGGGCCACCAAGTCCCCATACATCCCATGTATGTTGCACTTGTTCATATCACAAAATTACAAGCCTTTTACACAGCTTGTGACTGTCCTCTGCCAGTATAGCTGTAAAACGACAAAAAGCTGTTGAAGCTGTAACTGAAATCACTGTCTTCTGGAGAAGACTGAAAAGGATTCAGTAGACACAACTGGGAATCTTCTGCTTTGAAGCCTTTAGTTTAGTTAATTGCTTAATCTGCATTATAAGAACCTTAATGGGGGATAGAATTATGATTTCTTACCTTTTTGGGCTGAGGGACGAGTGTGCTTCTGCCTGTCTACCACAGGTCACTTGGAATGCTTTCAACTGAAAAAGTAAGACTTACAAATTCTTTAGTACTTTCAAGGACATGCAAATCGCAGCTACTGATACTGTTTAATTACATGCTTTTGTTTGTTTGAAGTTTTCTTTACAGGTTTCTTTTTGGATCTAAAAAATTTTTAGAAGGAAGCAGTTTCTCCTGTGTTTATAACCGGGCATTCAGACTGTTTTGTTCTTGTATTTCATCTGAACCTGATAGGAATTACTCCTAACACTGTCAACAACCTAATACTGTTTCTTACACAGAGATTTCAGATTGGGGAACAAATCTAGTACAGCTATTTAATAGTGAACAGCCAGTATTTTAAAGTGATCTAAGCATAAATGAATGCACAAAACAATGTGAATACTGTGAATACCAGGCTGGGTGGTTTTTTTTCCTGGAAAGTAAATCCTGGCTTACTTGTTGACCACATTTGCTTAATTCACAAGGGTGTCTTTAAGTGTCAGTTCTGTAAATTCATTCAGAAATCTGAAAGTCAACCTGTATGTTTTTACAGTACAGTCAGAATGCTTAAATAAGATTAAAAACTGACCTACAGGTGTTTGAAAAAAAGGGCAGAACTTGGCCTTAGAGATAAAGCTTAGTTAATGTTCTGATAATCACTTTTGTAGCTCTGGCTCTAATGGCTAAACTCAACTTTGATGGCTAAATCAGAGCTACGAACTAAGCCCCAAGCTTAGATGCTTGCTATAGTGAGGAGATAGTGCTGTGAATTAGTTAACACTTTTTGATAAATTCAGTATAATATATGAATACTTCTGCTTTGGGAATAATATTCCAGTGGCAGAGTAATGGCAATACAATATAAAAAATAAAAACTTCGTATCTTTGAACTTCATTGCTAAGATGGTGTTCTGCAGTGAATAATTTTTGTGGCCAGACTAGATCTTTAGTAAGAAACTTGTGAAGAAACATGGAAAGGGTACTAAAAGCTTATTTTCGAATCTCAAGTTGGTTCCATTTAGTTCCATGACAGAACGCTCCTACATTCAAAAAGCTCTTTAAGATAAAAGTTACCTACGTAAATAACTCTACATAAGCTTAATACCTGTCTGTTTTCCTTCAGTGGTGTCATTGCTATTTAAAAAACATCTTTTTGCCACAAGCGTAAAACAAAGTAGGGAAACGTGGTCATATTTTTCTTTATTTTTACAGGGTAACTTACAGCTGCTGCAGAGCTGCCTGGCAGTGTTAAATGGTGACACATAAGCTACGTTCCGTCCTCCCACTAACAAGGGCTGCCCTCCTCTGGATTTTGTTTTCATGACTTTAAATAGGCATTTACAGTTCCCTGGAGAAAACATTTGACAGAGTGCACATAAGCAAGCTCCTTCTTTCAAAAGAATTAAAACAAACACCTGAAAGTAGCTCCAGACTATATGAAGCAACAGCATACTTGTTATACATACATATTCACGTTTATTTAATCATTATATGCTTTCATTGTTCAGAAACCAAATGCTCTGTTTTTGTGAAAATAGCCAATATAATTATGTTCATGTTATGAATACTATGATAAGGCTGCCAATCTTATTTACCTTTGTAAGTAATTTCTGAAGTTCACCATTTGAAGCACATTTTTCAAATGGCCTAAATATTACCATTAGATATTTGAATATTGTTACTATAATGGCATTGTATACACTGTCTTAGTTTTTTTCCATGTACTGATATCAAGAAACTTAATCTTTTTTTCAATTGTGAACATTTCTTAGAAATTTTGGAGAACTTTGTGTAACCTTTATAACTATGATTTAAAAAGAAAAGCAAATGCATTAGTATGTTTGCCTTAACTTGTAGACTAATTCAATTATTGTAAAATAAACCATGAAATCGATGATTTTTCTAAAATTATGCAGACATTGTATCATCTGTAAGCTTAATATTTTCTAGTAAATCAGATTAATTTAATTAGCTTTTTCTTTATTCATCCTGTAAAACCATCGAGTAAGTATTGGATTGGTCTGACACTAAATACTTGCCCAGTAATTTTTCACTTGCATTCTCAGGTTTATCCGTTTGCCTATCTGTTTGTCTGTGACTTTCCTATGCAGTGTACTTTAAATTGTTTTGAGCTTGGTGGCTGACTCTGCAATTTCTTTGGCAGAAATGCTTTTCAGAGAACTTTTTGGGTTTCTTTCCAGAAAGAGGAAATAAAGTAGCAGAAGGGAGTTCAGAAAGGGCATAAAATACCAATGAAAGGTAATACTGCCCCACTTTGACACAAGGAAGGACTTTGCTTCAGAAAATAAAAAGTAAAGATATCCCTGATAAAGGAATGCCTGAAAAGGGTCTCATTCTAACTGGACTTAGAGCTATGAATCCAGTTTTATTTGTTGTATTGCTTTGTCTCTCTTACTTGAACCATGAAACTTTCCCAAGAGGTGCTGTTCTGTTGTGTAATTTCAGATGTCATAAAATGAGGCTTTACTTGATGAATTGCTCTTTGCAGTGGGATTGCTGCTTTATACGGGTTTGTAGACCTTCAATGGAGCAGCAGCATTTTGGGTGAATGGGATGTTTGGAGATGTGGATCGACGTTAAGTCACTGTCTCTCTGATTACAAACTGCCTGTACTGCCGCACAGGGGTGTGCGGTTTGAGTTTTTCCCTCAAATAGGGTGAACTGCACAGTGTAGTATACTTAACCCTGCTGCCTTGCACATCAGAACATTTCAAAGGCGGAGAAGTTTATTAGCTGAACGTGCTGTTTGCGTTTGTTGAGTTGCACACGCGTGGCCTCAGGCGTCGATTACCAGTGCCCAACGGCTATTAGCAACTCGCCTACTGTATATAGTGTTTTCCAGCAACGGCTATTACAGTAATACTGTGCTCTTCATCTTCCAAATGTAACAGGTATAATTCCTAAGGAACTCATCTATAAATAGACTATAAGGGACAAAGATTACAATGTATATACAGTTAACAAAATTGTAAATATTTTAAGTAGGATGTGGGAACAGTTTTTAGATTAGTCCTCGCTGTTCAGTGTTACCAGCTCATTAAATTTTTTTCAAGCCTCTTGGTATTGGGTGTGTCTCTTGAAGCTCTAACCCCTGGCTCTGCGCTTCTGAAGAAAAACACTTAAAAAGTGACCCGAGGACTTGCGACTCCCAAGGGAAAAAGGAAGAGCCCCGC